TATCCAAAATACGAAGTCCTCCTCTCCTGTCTCTCTTGCTGCTTGTAAGCGTCACCAACTTTAAAGGCGCATATCTCCAAAACCACAAAAGCTACAAAAAGTTGTCAATTGGAAAAATGAAGCTCTATGTTTGTTTAGTATACTCTAATAATTTCAGAGAACTCGAAAAATTCTAGACTCATTTTTCAGGAATCTGAATTTGGCTAGTTCCCACTGAAAATGTCAAAAATGACTTACCGTAAACATACCCTTATATCTCGATTTATTTTAAAGATGTGAAGTAGCGGTCAACTGATGAAATGTTAATCATATCACAAAAATATTTTATTAGTTGACTACTTTTTAGTATCTTTCACAGAAGTCGAGATAATTAAGCTCAAAGATGACCGCTTGGGTGCTCTTCCGTTAGAGGAGATACGGTATTTTCGTCGGGTACTATTTTTTTCCCAAAGGATCATGTCAATTTCTATCCTTGATTTATTGCGGACATCCAGATAAACATACCAACATTTTCCGAGTAAAAATTTACGCAATACTTTCCGGTATTATCCATTACTTGTCCCTCATTCCAATGTTTACCAGAAACATGCGTACACACTTAATTTACCGTTGAGCATGACAAATAACAACGCGGCTCTATTCTATTTTACAGTTTCCCCCTTTCCCGTCAAAGTGGTATATACTTGACACTTTGCTAATCCCTCTCCTTTCAAGCTTTTGTTGACTTATTCAAATTTGGCGGGACGTGTACGGAGAAAAGGTGTTTTAATAAGTTTTTGGAATCCGTTATGTAGATTTCTGGAACTTTTCTCTTTTCGAAGATTTGTGAAATTTGGCATTATGTTCAGGTTCTGTCAGCAAATCCTACTTTTTAGTAATTTTGAACTTTAGAGCCTGTAACTTTTTTTAAATACTTCCTTAAATTGAAGGCCACTCTATCCGTCAACTTTGAGCTCATATATCTCATTTCCTGTGAAAGATATTAAAAATTTGTCAACTAATAAAAAATGTGTCATAATATCAGAAATATTTTATCAGTTGACACATTTTTGATATCTTTCAAAGGAACCGAGATAATTGTGCTCAAAGCTAGCGAAGTCGGCTTTTATTAGAGGAAATACGGTATCTTTCGTGCTTTTGAGATTCTAAGTATCTGAAGTTTCTAAAATTTTTATTACTGCATCTCTTGTTTTTTGATTTTCTAAATTCCCAAATTTCGATATTTTCGCTCTCATTGTTCTTTTTTATGACTCAATTCTTCCAGAATCCCATGATTCTATTTTTTTTTTGGTTTTTTTTTTTTCAAAATTTGAAATTGTTTATCGTAAATTTATCACATTATATTTAGTAAATCGAATGACTAATCGTTCTTTTTTTTCAGATTTCTCCGCTTCCGGTGATCATTTGAAGTCAAAAACTACAGTATGCCAAACTGCAGTTCCTCAGGAGGAATTATGTTTTTGCGACTTACAGTACCCCTCAGGATTACTGTAACCACTCTTTAGCAATTTCGAAATAATACTCAAAAGCCACTTGACACTTACCAAATTATTATTTGTTGTTACAATTAACAGTTCCGAACAAGCCAGGAAATTCCTAGGAACGCAAAACACTTGAGATTTGTAAGCTCTATTATCGGTATAGGTGAGAAGTGGGTGACTTATTGCTCAGCGTTGCTCAGCATGCGTTTTAGGAAATTTTCATTCTAACGGTTTGTGAGTGTTAGGAAATTTCCTAGTTTCAATATTGCTCAGACGATTTAAAAACCATTTAAAAGCATTCAAGTAGCTGTGTTATTGCCGTACTGTAAAGTTTGAGCTTATTTATCTAGGCTCCTGTAAGATATATCAAAAATAGGTCAACTGATAAAATATTGGTGGTTTTATGATAAACAAATTATCAGTCGACAACTTTTTGATATCTTTGACAGGAACGGAGTTACATAAGCTCAAAGTCAGGAGCCCTTCTATTACAGGTTTTACGGTATTCAGGAATTTTAGAATTTCGAATTTCGAGAATTCCCGATTTTTGTGGATTTATGGTTTTTGAATTCCCATATTTTTAGATTCCGTAGATTTTTAATTTTTGTTGATTTATGGATTTACGAATCCTGAAAACCCATATTTAAAGATGTTTTCCAGGATTTTCGATTTTTGATCTTTTAATATTTTGATTGAAAATTATGATGACTCATTTCAATAAGCTCCGCCTATTTTTTTCAGCATGTGATTTCCAAACTGTTTTTTTTATATTCCATTTTATCAGTTTAGAGTATCGAATCTTGTTCATTGAATTTTCAAAAAAACCGAAAAACCTGAAATAGGAGGGGTCCCTAACTTCTAATTTGGATCCGGTTTATCTCGGTTCTTGTCAAAGATATTGAAAAGTTGACAATTGATAAGATGATTATCATATCACCAGCAACATTTTATCACTTGACAATTTTTTGATATTCGTGACATTAGATATACGTACTCAAAGTCGCTAGTGTGAGGGCCCCTATTATACTATTACAGGTTTTACGGAATCCAGTATTCTGGAACCCCAACTTTTTCTTCCTTCAACTTCCAGTCTTCAGAATCTTTTATTTCATTTTTTAGAAAAAAAATTATCGTATTATTTTTATATGCCCCGTTGTCCTCTGGACAATAGAAACACGGGTAGGTAAAGAAAAAAACAAAGAGAAGCGGGTGTCGATTAGGTGCTAATTTCCCCCGGTCCCCCTCTTCCTCTAAACTGTTGTCCTCTTTTTTCATTTTCTCATCATCTTGTATATTTTCTATTATTTCTTGTTGCTTCATGAAAATTATCCACACCTTCATTTCTCTTCTTCTCCTTCCCTTCTTCCTCCCAAAAATCCGTAAACGGAACAATCAATCTTTCCCCTCCCAATGGCTCCCTATTCTCGGCCATCAGTCAACTAATTGACACCTCGTCTTCTTCTCATATAGGCAAGTATTTTGGAATGACCTGATTAGAAAAAGAAATACAACTTGACACTATGTTTTTTTGTTTCGCGGGGCGGATAATGAAAAAGTAACGGTTCAAGGATAACTTATGGGAGGGGGTTCTGAGATTTCTGGGTTTTAACTTTGGACGCCTACGAAACAGTGTAGATTATGAAGAAGGAGTCTGAAAATTTTTAAAATCTACTAAACAAAAATAGAGCTTTACTTTTGTAGTTGACAACTTTTTTTAAACTTTATTGGTCTTGGAGATGTGCGCCTTTGAAAATACCGTAGCCTCCTCTCCTCTGGCGCTGTAGCGGCTTTCATCTTAAAAGGCGCATGTCTCAAAAACTAAGAAATATACAAAAAAACTGTCAACCACAAAATTGGAGCATTTATTTAGTAGGTTTGCAAAGTTTTATCCAGCAAAATTTACAGTACTTTTTCGTCATTGATTATTTTCAACTCAAAACTGTAAAACCTGAAATAGCAGCGCTCTGCACTGTCAACTTTGATCTCAATTATCTCGCTTCATGTGAGAGGTCAACTGATAAAATGTTTGTGATATTATGTTAAACAATTTATTAGTTGACAAATTTTTTATATATGTCACAGAAACCGAGATAAATTGACTCAAAGTTAGGTTACCGTATTTGCAAGCCCACCCTATACGTGCTCTTTGTGCTCAATTATCTCGCTTCCTGTGAGAGATATCAAAAATTTGTCAACTGATGAAATATTTCTGATAGGATGATAAACAATTTATTTGTTGACAACTTTTTTATATCTTATACAGAAACCGAGATAAATTAAGTTAAAGTTGAAAGTGAGGGAGCCTAGGTTTTACTGTAATAAAATAAGGTCCATTACTCTTCCTTTTCACGAACGATGATCCAAATTTTTCTCTGCAAAATTCTAAAATTTTTGACTATTTGTTTATAAAAATTTGATGGAATATGACTCATTTGGACCTATTCCCATGTTCCAGAATTTGTGGTTTCTCATGTGATTCTTTTTTTTTTTCGAAAAATTTTAGTATATAAACAAATCGTTTTATCAGTTGAATTTAATGCATTTCATATTTTTCCAACGTCAACCCACTAAC